AAACTGTTCCAGGATTTTTTTTCCTCTTTGCTAAGTAACCGCGGAAAAATATCACCCTCCATTTTTCTTTTTTTTAAGGGAAAACAAAGATTCCAGCTGTAATTTTCGTCCCTGAAAGCTTTCAATCAAATCGCTGTAACTTTTGTAAAAGCAAATATTTTCGAAGTCTTAATCGCACTTTTTATTTATTTTTGCTTATTATAGTCAGAATATATATTGTGTAAATCCCATGCGCAAAAAAATTCTTTTTTTGTTGACCGGTCGACCATTTTTTTAAAATTTATCGATTGACTATCTATTAATCGATAATTATCGATAAGTTATCGATTAACCATTGAGAACAAATTTCAAACGTCAGAATTTAAAAGAAAAGAGGTTAACGACCTTTTTATTTTGTAACAAAATTGCCAGGTGTGACGTGTGATCCTAGATCAGGGGTCGGCAACCTGCGGTTCTTTTGATACCTATAAAGTTGCGGCTCTCCGTATTTATCTAAAGAAATTAGTTCATTTGTTCGAAATTCGCCTTTTTAATTAATCTTATTTTGTATCAAAAGTATACTTGCAGCAAATAATTATCTAATTTTTGACACTTGTTTACTTTCTGGTATTCTTTTGTTTTTTTTATTATAGCCAGCCTACTCCGATGTATAAACACGTAATTAATTAATGAGTAGGTACTTTTGTGAAAAATATTGAATAACCTAAACACTGCGGAGTTTAAGCACAGGACACCCCTTATAAACATTTAAGGGAAGACAAAAGCGAATAGCGAAATAAAATAGTGGTAGTTCCATTTGAAAAAGAATAGTTATAGCACTTTGAACAAACGGCATTGAAACAACCAAATATTCAGGATGTTCTATTTAAAAAGATCAGTTATTAATTGACATCGTAAAAATGGAACACCCTGTACATTCAAAAATAATTTCTGTAGATCCGCAACCACCAATATTTTTACCAGGTATCTATCAGCTATGTAGGAAAAACCGACGGACTGTTGCAGGACCCTGTATATAGCCAAAAACTATAATATTGAATCAAAAATTATTTGTGGCTCTTTAAGAACTGGGAAATTTTGTAAATTGTAATTTTTGGCTCTTCCGTTTCAATAGGTTGCCGACCCCTGTCTTAGGTAGTTTAACCGGTGGCAACGGTTTAACCGACACACACAAAAATTAAGAATAGATAGGTAGGTTGTACATTTAATTTCTGTTACAGTGATCAAGGATGCCTGCGTATTTTTTGCTTTCCTGTTCAAATGTAATTCAATCTTCCTTAAGGAATGTTAAGTAGGTCACGATTCATGAAAGGAATAATGTTTATCTTACGTCATTCAACATCCTGTGTGCCACATAAATGCCTTATAAGTACGTTTCTTGGGTATCTAGAATTCTGTATACAACAATTACAAATCGAGATAGTGGGTTCATTACAGATTCCTGTATAATAATTAACAAAGGTAAAAAACTGACATTATTATTCATCTTTCTCGATGGTAGAGACATCTACGTCTTGTAATTTAAACTATTGAAAACAGTCACATATCCTGCCATTTAACCCGCGCTTCTGATAGTTATAACACAGCTTACTTACTATAGTAAGTAAGCTGTGGTTATAAATTCAATGATAGTACATATTGTCAGTAAACTATAGTCCATATGCGCAGCAATGTAACATAGATTATTAAATCGGAAATGAAACGTCATTTATAACGCGACCGATAGTTTTTAATAATATGCACCTGAAATGCAATGTAAAAACCCGTTCCCTACGAGTGAAAGTTTCTCAAAACCAGCCGTACGGAGTCAACGGTTCTCAATACAACATCCGTTGCGCTATAAATGACATTTGATTTAAGACTTATAATATATATTGGTCAGCGTATGGTGTAGGTACCTTTCTCAATATTTATACGTGAGAAGCATAAATGATAAAAAATACACGTTTTGAAGCACCACGAAGCCGAATCAAACAAAATCTGGATTATCTCTATCTGTTTGTCTGTCGGTATTCTCATTTTCAGGTAAACGACTGAACCGATTGGAACCATATGTACATATATGTTTAGACATACCTAAAAGAAAGAGCAGAAAAGCTTTTGGGTAGAATCACGCATGTGCAGATATGCCGGTAGTATAGGTAAAAATGCTGCGATAAGTTTGCCTTTACTAGAAGCACATGTGGTTAAAATTTCAAAAAAATCGCCGATTAAAAAAGATGATATCGCTCAGCTTCCGCGTGACACATTTAATTTTTACTATATGCCTTGTTTTTCTTTACTAATTTCAAAGAAATGACTATAAAGTTGGCACATTGCGCAGTATGCGTATGCGCACATCTGCTTTTTACCATATATGCGATATGTCGCCAAGCGGAAAACATATTTTTGGTAACGATTCTACTAGTTGTGTGTCCATTGGTAATAATGCATGCGGATATCTTAATAAATCAACAGTTGTCAACTGTACGCGCAGACCATGCGCATATTATGTTTTAAATGTAGGTACCAGGTTAGTAGGTATTGTTTGTAACAAGAAAAGAGATATAAAGGATGATGAATAATAATACCTACCTACATAACTGGTTTTAACTTTACCAGCCGCTGGTCAGGCGCAGGAGCAAGCAATTGGTGTAAATTTTCTTGGTTCTTGGTTGTTACTATACCCTAAGCTACCGAATGCAAACAGAACGAACTAAATATCTTGAAAACTGTAAGAGTAGATGCAGCTTCGAGTGGACGGACGGAGAAAAGTGGCAATAACAGCGCCTTCCAACATGTATTGGAAAATGCGCTAGAACTGCCCTCTGCCATATTTGCTATGCGCACCACTTTTTTGTAAGACGAACATTTGGTGCAATATGTTTAGGTTATTTCAACGATGAAGTGCGCATAATTTTTTTTAAAGTCACACGAAGAAACTGTCCGCAATTGCAGTTCCAAATATAAAATTTTGTGGGGACCAGACTTTTCACACGCCCGTTTAAGGGTGCATTTGGAAATACAAAATTAGAAAGAATACATCCAAAATCCCAGATAGTCTTACTTGTTGTGTTCATAAGAAGAAAACTAGAAACGCAAATTTGGTACCGTTTGGGGGTGTAGCTCCAAGACATAGATTAAAAAATCTATCTCCAAAGCGACACATTTTATCTGCGTCGTGTCCCTTTTTTTAATTAAAAACTTGTTTCCAGCCCCACCCCCATTCACCACCCTTAATCAAGTTCTTAGAAGATTGACATTTTATCTGTGGCATTATTAAGAGGTAAAAAACATAAGTGTTTTATGAGATCTGATTATCACTATTGTGGTACATATCAGAGCCCCACTCTAGCCTCAATATTAGACCAAAAAATCCGATACAACTGAATACCGAACGGTTCTCGAGATCTTCGCACATGCATCTTTTTTTACAACGCAGGGATTGATTCTGTTCCACCAGATCAGCATAGCTTGTAAAACAAATTTTTGAATTAGCATTAGTTTTACTTTTATACGAGGTGGGAGGTACATACATACAAAATTTCATTTAAATATAACAAATAAAAAAATTGGGATTGCTCAAAGTTGGGTTGCCCATGCGCAATTTTTTTTAAATTCATCTACTAGGTAACACAGAAAACCGGATATTCATATGTTCTTTGTAACAAGAATTATAACAGACCCTCTTTTGTAGGTATGGGCAGTTTTTGGGTTGTAACTTTTTGGCCCGTTAGTCTACATAGCTGAAAAACAATAGGGACATTTCTTATATCCTGAAGAACATGTGTGTCTATTTTCAAAGCGATCGGACGTTTCTACACAAAGTTATTGTGCACAGGGACAGACAGACGGACAGCAATACAAAATTATAAATGATCGCGAGGGTCGTTAATAATAAAATATTTCTATAAAACCCAAGGACCTTGATAAAACCAGAGCATTAAAAGTTGACCAATATTATGTATATAAGTATTGACATTGATTATACACACCTCTATAAATCAATGGTATTGATAAGAATCCCAAAATAGATCATAATTCAAACACAAAGCCAGTAACAGGTGATGTATTGTATACCTGAAAATTTGACAAAGTAAGAATAAATGGTCTGTGGAATTTATTACAATCCTGTTTGTAGCATAGCTACAGGACGTATCTAATTACGATAATAAACAAAACACCACCTTTATCTCTAAGAACAAGACAAGGCCAGTCTTTGGCGATAATATCCATGTGATAAATTGATGTAAGTATATTACAGGTTGCTATTCTTCGTTAATAGGTCACTGCGTTACCTAAACGTCCACACTGTATACAGACTTTAGCTCTCTTTAGCTACACGCTAACAGCGCCATCTTACACGAAATCCACAAATTAAATTACAGGAAAAACGTGGAATTTGATGGCGGCAATTCACATTTTAGCGATCAGGCACTAAAATGTACAAAACTTGAAAAATAAGTAAGTTTCATCCGAAACCAAAATACTACATCATTCTTCAGGGTACTACTTGTGACAAGACACTAATAGTTTGCTACACTATTTGATATTTATTTAGTGGTGTACTTTTAAAGATTACGTAATATTTTTTTTTCTTTTGTATTAATGCGAAATATGTATCTCATCACGTAGTTGTCTCAGATGAAGGTGTTACGAATTATCTTTTACGAAAAAAGTAAAAATATTTTGAAATTTGTACATTTGAAATTTGAATTTATATTAACCTCACATTTTGGTGTTAATCCCCCCTTAAATCTCTTATATATATGTTCAAAATCAGTCAATACCTGAAAAACAAAGTTGGCCATGAACATTTTCATTTTGGCATCATCAGTTTGACAAAACAAAAGGAGCAAATTTTCGCAAAATCGCAGCAGCAACGTCTCTAATTATTATTAATATACAATGTTATTATCAAATTAAAGGGAATTACCAAACCTTAAGTTCAGCTTGGCAACATTGAACTGCACATATGAGTAATTTGCAGTACTTTGCCTTATATATATGGTACTTTGACATAACATAACCTTCAAGTTTACTATCCTTGTCTCTCACTCGACAATTTTGAAACAAAAACAAATCCATCCTTCCAATCGTGGTACACTTCCAATTCCCATGTCGTACTACTTTAATTATAAACAATTATTATTTTTATTCAATGTTTTAAGTAAGTAATCCCATCCTAAAATTGATAGTCAATATGGACAATGACCACGACGTTAAAAAAACATCATCTGGAGATAACCTAACAACAAATAACCAGGTAAGTACGTAACTCGAAAATAATTCAAGCACTTTCATAAATGATCACCTTACTTTAAATTGAGGTCAGAAGTTCACCAGAATCAGAGCAGGACATTTTATTCACACATATTTTTCTTCTTGCAGACAGTAGATATGGCTAATAGTAACGAGAAAGGCAATAATCAGAATGTCGATTCCGAATACGAATCAATCTATGATTCTAGCAACGATCAAGATGATGAAAACGTGCACGAGGAGGAAGGCTTCGAAAGCGAAGGCAGCGTAGGGTTAGAAAGGGAAGAAGGCGATGGACAGGAAAGTGTTGCAAATAAAAAAGTCGACGACGATGAAGACAAAAAGAATCCACAGTACATACCTAAGAGGGGTACGTTTTATGAACATGACGATCGTACGATGGAAGAGAGGTAGGATTATTCGTTTGACGAATGAGGTTAATGTTTGAAATTAAATTTAGTAACGAAAATCGAGAAGAAGAGGAGAAAGTTGAAAAGCAAAATAAAAAAATTGTATGGGTTGAGAAGAAGGAACGGTGGTCACACGATCGATATAATGATAATGAACAGGCTCCGAAATCTCGATCTGAATTGGTGGCAATTTACGGTTATGATATACGAAATGAGGATGGGCCTCCGAAGGCTAGGAGGCGTAGAAGATATGGGTAAGTTTTGATCATGGAATTCAATCGTGTATTATAATGAAAAAGATGTTATTTAAGTTAGTGGTTTGCGGTAAAATATAAATTATACGATTTATAATATTTTAACGACGTCTTTAGGTGTATTATTTTGTTTCTTTAATTACTGTAGTACATGTTGGCCACTTGATGCGGTCATCTTGTATTTTAGTGCTTGAGTTCGGGCCAATTGCACCGTCAAAATTAAGTATCCCTTAAAGTTAAGCATAACTTAAATACCATAGCGATTGTCTTAATAATCGTTGCCATAGATTTTAAGTTCGACTTAACTTTAAGCAAGGCTTAATTTTGTTGGTGCAACTGGGTTCAGGTACTTTATTCTCAAATCTTCTTTGCCGAAACAACTGTTTGGCCACATCAGAACTGATTACATTATTATGCTTGAGTCGCAAGTAAGAATCGCACAGTTGTTTGAATTATATTATTCCCACGTCTGACTTATGAGATCTTTTAAAATTCCCAACAATTTGCATTAATTTGTCAGAAGGTTCAATTAACCCACCAAATGAGAAATGTTGCAATCACAAAGGAATTGTAAGTAAGTAGCTGAAATATTGTTTGTAGAGTTAGCCAGATATGAGTGCTCTTTTAAAAACTTTTTTGCGATGTAGCCTGCTAATTGTACTGTTGACGTTTTAACCTTACGCATTCGAATCTTTATCCTGAAAGGTTGCTAGTTTAATAGGATGTGGTTGTATAACCGTAATGAGCATGTGCGCGTTTTCTAACGAAGTTGGGTGAACTGTTCTAACCACTTTCTCTGTCTGTCCGTTAGTCCGTCTACTCATGGCCTTAGCTACTCCTACAGCTTTCAAGATATTATATTTGGTTTGTTCTTTTTTGCATTTTGTAGCTTATAGCTCAGGCATCTGGTCCAAGAAAAATATTGATCATTAATGTGCGCATGCGCAGACTGCAATATATCAACTTTCTTATTTATTAATATATTTCTTTTAAATTTTAACCATAGATGCTTCTAGTAAAGAAAAACATATCACATAATAGTAAAAACCCAATTGGCCATGCGCAAACCGCGCAATGTCAACTTTCTTACTTACAGAGATGTATTTGTTTTTAAATTTTAACCACAATTGTCATTAGTTAAGGCAAACACAGCGTATAGGCGTAGACTGCAAAATGCCAACTTTGGTGCTACCCATAGAGTAAATACAATAAGAGTTCCAGACGCTTATTAATTTGTGGCCACCTTTCACACACCTCATAAGTGGATGGCGATGTAAGCGTGGGAAAATTTTCATTCAGCGCCCCCTATTATGTAGGACAGATCACTAATGGCAGTTTGCACCGACAAATTTAAGTGGCAACGATTATTGAGACAATGGTTGCCATAGATTTTAAGCTACGCTTAAGCTAAGCTCTGCTTAAATTTGTCGGTGCAAACGGGCATAAATTGGGTAGCTGAATTAGCGCGTTTATGAACCACTCAAAGCCGCGGCTTTACGAATTCATTTATAATGACCTTGAACTGATAAATTTACGAATACTTTCAAGAGGATGCATTCCGTAAAAAAAATACATTGATTGTACTCTGTCGAATAATTTATTACCTACTTGCAATTCTATAAAATGTGTGAAACGAAATCCAATACGCACACAACAATTAATAGTAAGTATCGAAGGTTCATTAAATAATAAATTTGTTGAGGGTTTTGACCAACTTATTGTCCCTATTTAAATTCGAGTCCATTACAAGAGTTGTACCGTACATTATAGATAAAGTTTATTAATAAATTGATCGTTTGCTCGTTGGAAATTTCAAACCAATTTTTAAACTTCTCGCGTACCTACTTCATATACAATTTCAAATAATCTTCATGTCCGATTATTCGCTTCGAACAGTCTATTTAGTTGATTTTTTTTGTAGAAATTAATGTTACGCATCCGTTCGTACTATTGATATCCATTTTCCAAATTTTGAAACTACGTAAACAGAATTTAAATATGACGTTATGAGAAAAAAATCGTGTGAGATCGAATGGACTTCAGCGCAGTTTTGTGTGGTAGACCAGTTTCTATTAGCCAGTTATATTGCAACATGAAAGTTGCAAAGTAACTTTTTCAAAAGGTAACCGCGTGGTGATTTTTTAGTCTTCGTCTGCAGTTGTAGAAAGATGAGTGTACTTGTACCTACCAGGCCGCATAATTAACAATTCTTTAGGGACGGGGCTACATGATGTGGGGTCGGCGACATCCGGGCGCCATCCCCGAGCGTGGTTTACTAACGTGGTGATTAGTTTTTTTCTATCTTCTTCTGCAGGAAAAACAAACGTAGTTAAGTATGCTGTATGGCTTTATAATACGGGCCGATAATCATTTTGAAATTAACAATTTTATGGTTTTCCCTGTATTTCTTACCCGAGCGAAAATTTTGATTTTACCGTATTTTTAAAATTTAAAAAGAGCACATCCTCAAATATAAGTTAAAACCAACAACTTTTTTAAAAATGAAAATAGATTTTTATTTTCCTTTTGGAATTTTACACAGTGTTTCATGTACAGGGTGTCCCATTTTCGACACTTATAGGCGTTATGGGCTCTTTTTGAGTCAAACTTGCAATGGTAAAATCAAAATTTGCACATTTTTGCTTCAGAGATACGGAGATAAATCAAACAATTTTCAATTTCAATTAGTAAAAACAGAAACAAAAAAATGTTTCTTGAAAATTATTGATAAATAATCTGCCGTTTTCAAAATAAATAATTATACAGTACAATCAGATAAAAAAGTCATTGGATCTAACTTAATTTTATTTAAATGGCATACCCTGTATATTTCAATCTAAAAATAGCATATTAAATTCTGTTTTTTTAAATATAACACTGAAAAAATTCAATATCGATTCAAAAAGGTTCAAAAAAGATTTCTTAAAAATTCAAAAATTCGTTTGTAGTAATTTCTAATTTTTTCACTGTCAGAAAAAAGGGCGATAGTTCGTAGAAAACAGTTCCTTTTGTTGAGACCTTTAATTAGAATACCATGAATGGGTAAGACGTGTGGTTGCCCCCCCCCTCGCCTTTCCCATTTTCAAAAGTTTTACTTGCCACTAAAGACATGCGCATGTAAAATGGTATTAGACTCTATTAGTGTGACGTCAAATTTGAGCGGGAAATTGGAAATGCTGGACTTGGCTGTTTTACTGTGGAAGATATTAACCCCTATCGCCCCATACATTAAGCATCACTTTTAAATAGGTGCTCTTTACGGGCTTATGCGCATTAAATAAGCATATCGACCCTCTTATATCGAAACACTGATTACTTAACTTTCAAGGCAAGTAAACGACCAAGTCTAGCAATTGGGAAAATGTAAACACAAGAACAAGGTCATGATCATTCCATATTGCCAACCGTAAAGTGTAAATATGGTCGACATATCTTTAATTTTTAATTATAACGCAATTAATGGATTTTATTTAACGATTATTGCTCTGTTTTAAAGTTAAGTAATCGGTGTTTCGATATAAGAGGGTCGATATGCTTGTTTAATGCGCATAAGGTCAGTATAAGCCCGTATAGAGGACCTATTTAAAAGTGATCCTTAATGGATAGGGCGATAGGGGTCAATATTTCCGACAATAAAACAGACAAGTCCTGCAAATCGAATTTCGCGGGCTATTATGACGTAACCACTAAAAGACTCTATTGGTTGTCGCATGTAAAAGTTTAGGACCATTCCCGTAAAAGTAGTTCAACACGGCAAAAGTGGTTCCTGACCGACGGAGAACACGCAAAACAATAGCACCAGCGCTAAAAAACGCAAAAAAAGTACAATCTTTGCCAATCTACCTTTCATTGCATTGCTGGTTACTGGTTAGAATGTAGAGCATATGTGGTCTGGTAAGAATAAGATGCAAGTTGTCTTCCGTGTTGAAGAATTGAAGAAACAACTCACACCGGAGAGCTTTTATAATTTCAATTTCTAGATATCAAAATTAAAACCTTTCTTTCCTAATTTTTGTTTTGTCATATTTCTTCGAATTATGCGAATTATCCTTTACACGATACACATTGTATAGAAAGTGTCATATTTCATAGTAGATTAGATTGTACACTTGCAGTTGAGTGTTGACCATTGCAGTAAATGTCGTAAATTGCTCCAAATAAGTACGTTGGGCGTTTGTTGAATTGTATTTCGATTGAAATTGTATTTATGTCTTAAAACGTAGAGAAAAATTTTAATGAAACTCTAAAGAGTCTCACCCAATCCAAAAATACTAACTTTGGTATATTTTAACATTAATATGCATGCTAACAAAACACAAAACTAAAACAAAAAAATTCATATAAATAATAAGTAAGAATTCAAATATTATGCCAGTCACTCTCACAGAGTGACATGTCTTGTTTGTTGTCTACTCACAGGGTAGTCGGCTACTTTGCAGATGCAGACCAAATGAAACGATGCAGTTGTTGTATCTCAATAGTGAGCCACGAATTTGAATCACCCTATACAGTACTAAAGAAATTAACAATTTCTATAATAAAAATATTTGTTTCACTTATTTTAGATTTGCTTTATTTATACCCCTGTTTCAGCTTTGAAATACTACATCAAACACCAAATCCAAACAAAATAGTTGTATTTTCATATTCCAATATGTACATTGTACATAAGTAAATTACAATGTAGTATGAATTTTTTATTACTGTTTTAATTGGAAAAAAATTGTTGAGAAATTTTCTTACAATCCTGAGGTATTTTTATGACAGGGTAGCAATAAAAGATGATTTAATTGCTTTTGAAATGCAAATCTTATTCTATATCATTTTTTCATAGAATAAAATTGTTTCAGGCGAGGACCAAATAAGTACACCAGGACGTGGGAGGACGAGGACGCTTATAAAGCCACAAAGCCTGTAAAACCAATCAAAACTAAAAGCAAAAATAGGGAAGAATATCCACCATTAAGCGAAAATAATGAAGAGAAGAGACAATCTAATATTACAGAATCTTCCTTTCAATCAACTGAAAGACATGATTCCAATAATGAAGAGTATGTAATCAAGAGATTTATGTTATCTGTTCTATTAAATTTTAGTGTGGAAATTAAAGCATTCTTTTCTTACAGACTGGAACCGCCAACAGAAAATCCTAAACCTTCACAAACACAACCTGACCAAAATGTTTCATCTAGTGATCAAACTAAAGTGACACCCCCAAATCAAAGAGCTGGAACTGGCCGGGTAAAAACTAAATCAGAAATTCAGCGCAAAGATTACAGGGGTTTCACAAAGTCGCGTGAATTTAGCAATTCCAATTCCAAATCGGAGCAGGCAGTATCAAGAGCACCAAAAGTTGAGCCTCGCCAAGACTATAAAGCCAACGAAATGGAAAATTTGGAACAAGATATGAACCAAATAAATATTCAAGATCATGCTTCCAAGATGTCTAACAAGCAGCAGAGTAATCATCGCCAAAATAATGTACCTCCTCGGTTGCAAGCAGAACAGAAAGGTTCCTCGAAACGTTATAGTTCTTTACGTCAACGTTCATTGCCAGAAACGGCTACTCCCAATTATAGTCAAGCAGCAAATTATTATCCTAATGGTAAGATTGTACCTTTTATCTTATACCTTGACAGTTTAATTGATGTTGGTTACAGAATACACTGGTACTACACCTACAGCTCCCCCTCCATCTCTATTACCTCAACCCACCACATTGCACGCACCTACTCAAGTGACTCAAATACCCCCACCTCCTTTAGCTACACTACCTCAACCCGTTTCCGTAACCTCAAATCCAATTTTGCAAGCACCTCCTCCATTTGCAACTACATTTCCACAACCGGCAGCTCCATTTTTATCACCACCCGTCGCTACTCCGCCATTTTTGCCTCAGCAAGCGCCACCTTTAATCAATTATGTTCAAAGTCAAGCCCAGTTTCCTCCGCAAGCGGCTCCTTACCAAGGGTATCAACAGTTTAACGCAGTGGTAAAGGGTAGCTGAGTTTCAGAACTTAATCTGACAAATGACTTTTCTAGAACACAGCTGATTTATATCAATGCCAAGGAGGAACCACGTATTATTCCACACAAGGTCAACAGTTAGGTCAAAGGATGGTGCCGCAGAAGCGTCCTAAAGCTGCGATTCCAATTGTAGCACCTCCCATACCTGAACCCAGAGGGCGGGGTAGATCGATCAATAATCATATGGAATCCCCACCCCTTTTAGAAAGTACAGTTTGCGAAACTATAATAAGTGAAAATTGTAATTATGAGGATATTGTGTATGTTCAACAATGAACATATATACAATATGGACACCTAAATATTTAATATTCTTTCTATTTTAACATTTATTTATTCATTTTGATAATTATTAATTAATCCATCTATATGCAAGATATAGAAAATGTTTCATACTTAAAACAGTTAAGTACCACATCCCGAATCTGTAATGAATTTTTTTTTATGCGGTGGTTTAAATGTTTTAACGATTTTTATTTCTTTTTGTTAAACAATAATTGGGTTGCAATACATTATAATATATGTTATTTTTCTGTTATTCTATGATCGGTTCTTTTATGTATTGGTATGTGAGATGCCATTACAAAGGGAATTAAAAAAAACTACTAGTCTTGTGCCTCTTAAGAGATAGGAAAATATGAATTTATTATGCATGTGACAAATTCAAACCATAAGAAAAGAACCTGGAATAAATAAACATATTGCTGTGTAACTCGCCTAGTTGCCCAGGATCACCCGCATAAATGTACAAAATATTGAAATGTCATGCTGAATTTCGGGGCTATTTATGAAAATAAATGAAACTGTAACTCCATTATTCGTCACTGAAAATCTCTGCAATACTGTCACAATAACTATGACGTTTAAATTGCATGAAATTTGCAGGCGTTTTCATCGTGTTAAATTATCTTATAAAATTCTGTATAAATTGGACAGGTGTGATAAAAGTTAGTGGATTTGATAACAAAATGAAATGTGGAGGTGGGTTGTGATAAGCGATTCACAGCATTTGAGGTTATTCAGTTTGGTCATTGTTAATTAAGGTTTAGAAGTTTGAGGTCACTTTAGGTTATTCATTTTTAGTTCTTGGGGTTGATGTCTGTGTAAGGTTTGTGAAACGAGAAAGTTTTCTACCGCTATCACAGTTTGGCTATAAATCAAATTCGCGGTAATAAAAGTTAAGGTTGACCAGAATCGTTATTGAAAAGAAACATTGCGATATTATGAGATACAAAGATTCTTTCAATAATAGATGATATGGAGATGTTACGATCATGTACAAAAAATGTCAGTAAGAGAGTGTGGTAGCCAGTCCAAATATCCCACATACCACGCACAAACACTAATGAATATGTCATAACATCATTGAATAAAAAATTTTTTATTCAATGATAACATGTTGGCCCTGTATAAAAACGCAGAGTTAGTCTCTCTGAAAAGCATTTTGCACATAAAAGATAAGTACATAACATAGGAGACAACGACAGTACACCATATGCTTTGAATAGATGAGTAACCTGAGGCGGAGCTACGCTATGCAACCCATCTTTAGAGCCAACTCAACTCCCTAGATATAAATAAGCAGATGAAGGTTTTTAACAATGAAATGGACAAATGGTATGTATCTGTAAAAAAAAAGTTATAACACAAAATAAAATTATAACAATATTCACAGAGCAACCGCCGATATTTCTCGGTTCAGACTTCAGATAGAGTAAGGAGCAATACGAAGATCTGGTGGAAACCTTTTAGTGTACAGGAATTAATTATTAATACAAATATTCGCAATCTTGTCATTCGCACCTCGCCCCAGATTGGTAACACCCAAGGACAGGTTAGAGATGCTGAAAGAAATTCAATTATTAATAGCAATCATTGATGTCCAACTTAAGACCTTCTGCAGAGGCACCTCTAAATAGCATTATGCGGGTCACTCTGTAATTGGGCGCATGCCTGTTGAGGGCCCAAAACAAGAGAAGGAAATGTCAACACCGATGTTGAAAACGTGTATGCGGTTGCGTCTCTTTCTATGTGTGTAGACCCCTCTGTGCTCATTTTGTTGTCGTGCAACAGTATAGAGTCCAGTTCAGCTAGCTCAAAGCAAATACAAATTGAAACTTAAATCTTGGACACGAATAGAAATTGACTTGAAAACTCTATCTGGGTCGCACAATGGATTCGAATAAACACAATTGATTGGCAATCACATTTATTTCGAAACACAAAAATCAAATTAAAACTCCTGAAATCCCTGAAAAAAAGAAAAGTTTAAAAAGCTTGTTCGGCCATATTACCCCGCACACAGGCGGTTGACAATTAAAATAAGAAATTTTAAAATTACTTGGTTTTTTAAAAAATAAATCAAATAATCTAGTCGTACAAGATTTGCGATATAAAACCTTTGATTATATACTACTAGATAGCGCATTCTTAATGATACAAGTGTTCCAATTCGTGCAACATAGATAGAATTTTTCAGTGAAAAGAAATGAGATAGAAGAAGTTTGTACCAATTCGAATTGCGCATGCCAGGCGTTAATAAACCGGAAACTAATGGCGTTGTCCGTATAACAACAGCTGATTCTTTGCTTTGCTTCTTTATTTGCTTTATACGTTATTTGGGCTCTACCTTTAATTAATCGTGGTAATTCTGCGTAGTTTTTATGTTTCTAAAGAGAATAGTTCATAATATGCAATTAACGTGAAGGTAAATGTTTACTCCGAAAATAGATGTAACGATTTCAACAGTCCGACTATTTCCGCGCGAAGTGTATACCGTAAGCATGCGCATAATGATTTGGTACAAACATATAAGTCTATCTCTTTTTTTGGAACATACATTTTAAGTGAATGCGCTATCCAGTAGTACATAATCAAAGTACAAAACGCACTAAATTCACACAAACGCTGACGGCTTCGGAACTTACTTCGCTTGACAACACAATTAGATGACAGACAAATCAGGTTTGATGAACACACGTAAACTTCTCACACAACTTTGGTGAACTTGATTCTGCACAGATTTATTATTTTATGCGTCTTCAGCAAAACAAATAGGACCGACTGCTCGTAATTTAGTGTAAACAGATGTACACGCTCTTCAGCCCTCGCGAAAACTAACAGCAGCAGCGGGTAGAGAGCTGGCTAGGAGGACGTAGAGGGCAGGTAAAGAGCGGGTAGAGACGAATAGAGAGCAGGTAGGGATCGTGCAGGGAGCTGGTAGAAAGCGGGTAGAGAGAGGAAAGAGAGCTGGTTGAGAGCACGTAGAAATCGGGAGGAGGGCGGGTAGAGAGCGAGTAGAAAAAAGCCCTACCTCCTACCAAATAAAGAACAGCACGTAGAGAGCGGACGGGGCGGCCGTAGAGAACGAATAAATAGCAAGTAGAGAACAGATAGGTGCAGCGAAGGTAGAGAGTAGGTGAAGAGCGGGCAGAGAGCAGGTAGCGCCAGGGGTGTGCTGGCAAAAATCACAACTGCTAAATATTTAGGTAGTTATTTATGAGAAAAAAAATTTTTTTCAGAACGAGAAAAAGGTTCTATTGGTACTTTAATGTGCCCATATGAATATTCCATAGTCTGATAAATTAACAGCTTATATATTGTTCTGAGAATTTTTGCAGATAAGACTACCCGAGGCAGCCTGCACATAGGAGGTAAATACCGGAATTATTTTTTTTTAGAAATTTCATGCCCGTGTGCTTCCATGCTATATAGTTTATAGTCAAAAGTGTTAATCCAGAAACTTAACTTTCGGTGGCGTGCCGCGTGAGGGATGTACAAATGAAAACGTAACCTTTAAAATCTTGTTCGCATTTAAACATAATTTATTTGCATTGCGAACCATTCTTGAGCTAAATGCACGGACCTCTAAATGACAGAGAATTGCCATCAGCGAACAGCATAAGTTACAGAACGAACTCATGCAACAAGCGAGGTCATTGATACAAATCAAAAAGAGAACAGGACCTAGAACCGTCAACCGAACCTTGAGGCCCCCCGGGTAACATATATACCTAGACGTGGGCTCTGGATTTGTTAGAGAATATAGGCAACTGGTGATGCACATGTAATTCAATGGGGCGTGCATTGCCTCTGAACTTCATTCACCATTTCATAAGCAAGGGGTGTATATGATCGAGAAAATATGTATTAGGTAGATAGATGTACAGAGCATAGTTTCCATACAATATAAACTGATATTTTGTCCATTAATTATAAAATCTAGAAAACATGCGTCAAAAGAGTTCATACTTTAGGAATTAATTGCAAAAATTAGGGAGCATTTTAAGCAATACGAGTGTATGGGATCGGTAGCGTGAATACTTATCTATATTTTGGCAATTCATGTGAAGCTCAAAAGTTTTCATAAAAAAAAGTGGTGAATGAAGTTCTGAAAAATGGGCATGTAAACTGGAGAAATGGAAATAAACTACGCAGCTGTGACTAATATCATTGAATAAATTTTTTATTCAATGCTAATATCGCGGTCAACAGTGTAGCTTCTTTCTCACAGAGGGTGCCACCAAGAGTTTTATGAAGTCAGTAAAAAATATGATAAAAGATATGAAATAGGTAAGCGCCTTTATTTTGCAATGGAGTTGTTCTTACTTTTTAACTAGGCTATTAGTACTGTGTAATGGGGATAATAAAAGACAAAAATATACGAGCAAAAAAAACTAGCAGGCTATGTAAGTTGCCTATGCTAAATCATTTAGCGATTCTCTTTCAACGTTGAACAGAGCGTGCGTGTGATAGTAGAATTTGCTGACAGCAAGAAAAAGATCGTTCACTGGTATATTTTTATTTTGTCAACTACTTGCTTCGAAATTTATCTTATATATACAGGGTGTTTGGTAAACATGCGGCAAAAATTAAAGAGGTTATTCCTTGGACTATTCTAATGTTATTTTATCCTTTGATGATTTTTGAAAAAACGCTTCGTTGCGAAGATACAAGGCGAAATAGATTTTTGAAGAGTTGAACTTATCAAGTAAAAAACGTTAATCACATTCCCTGATATCTGTCATTGATGATCTTTTGTTTCGAGTTTGTCAAGATTTATTGACGTTTGGCTATTGGCGTGTAATTTCTGCCCTTATTACTTAAACGATTGTTTGTGAAATCCTCTATCATGGCTCATTATTCGAATGCGTTTTTTCAAAAATCATCAAAGGATAAAATATCATTAGAATAGTCCAAGGAATAACCTCTTTAATTTTTGCCGCATGTTTACCAAACACCCTGTATATGATTTATTTGGTTTCTCTTTCCTATTCATTGCAAAAGCCCAAAAGGTACCTCCTCTACCTATCGTTTTATGAAATAAATAATAGAAATGGGGATAGGTAACATTCCTTTACAACAAATATCAAAATTTTACGTTATTTTTAGAACAAAGAGCTGTTGTATATTGTTGTTTGATGTCTGGCAAGCTGCGACCTTGTGTGGGTGTTTATTTGTAATACGATTTGTTTGACCGTCTTCCTTATTCTTTATCTTTGCTTATTGCATATACCGTAATTTATAATCCATACCTTG